ATTGTAAGAATTCAATGAATGTTAAGAATTAATTGCTAACAACATTTCAGCTGACACATAGAAATTGGGTTAGCCATCAATGACAAGTTAAGATGAAAAAACATTGTCAAGATCATCTACAAAAACAACGAAAAAAAACTGCAAGAAACATATAGAAATACTTAAGTGCGGAATGATTTGTACCGTAAAGCAATTTCATCTTAAGTTTCAATTTCTAAGTAAATCAAATAAGTTTAAGTATGCAGAGTTGGATTTTTTATTGTCTATTAGTCATAAAATTTAAATACTAAAATTATTTAGTTTATTTTTAATTTCTGAGATTTGTACTTAGTTTGTATACCTTTTTAATCAAAATTTATTCGTAACTAGCAGGGAACGTACCCAAAGCGTAGCTCGCCAGCTTATTTGAAATTTTGTCCACTGGTAAATTTCACGGATGAGAAAAAGTATGGTCGAAACTACTGAAATTTGCTGAAATTTACAGTGTTTCTGGCTCTATAGGAACAGCAAAAAACTTGGTAATTTTTACCGAAGCTCTTTGATAATGATTTTGGTCAGCTTAATAAAGAAATATGGTGTTATAATGTGTGATAAATTTGGTTAATGTGGTATAATTTGGAAATTATATCATGTTACCTTAGAAAATGGCAGAAAACCATTTGCATGGTAAAATTTAATTTTCAGTCTTGTCTAATTTACTAAATACGTAGAAATAGGAACTATATTTTTAAAAACCAGAATTTTCGGTAAAACGCTACCTTTCGAATAGAAAAATTACCCAATGAATGGTTTAAATACTGTGTATTTTGGTTATCCAAGTTTATGTCTGTTTGTGCTGGGCCCATGCCTGAGAGTTAGTGGGTTCGAACCCCGCCATCTCAGACCCCCCGTGTAGTAAATGGTGACTGATGCACAATAAATCTGTCGAGTCGCAAAGTCCTCCAAGCTCCCATAACAAATCAATACCACGGGGGGTACTGGATTGGAGATAGATCGTTCTCTGATTCAGGTCGAAATCACGATGTGGATGAATGAATGGATGTATAAATGGGTTCGCCTGATAAAATGGGCTGTGACGTGTGTGTGGCTGAAGACGAATTCTTGGCCATAGGATGGCGCCACTGAAAAAACTAGAAACGCACACTCTGCCTTAAATTTGCTCACCAAAGTTGCTCGGTTTCACCAAGCAGTCTTGCCCGTGTGGCATGTCGCATTAGAAACTACAACATGTTTTTTTGTTTGTTTTTTCAAAAATGTCATAGAACATTTGGTAAAAATACACTACGTTAATTTTAAGAGATTTTTTTCCGAGATTAATTCACCAGTTCGAAGTAATTTTTGGGGGATTTTTCAGACAAGGAACTAGTGAAACATGTTTCTATACGAGAAAACTGGTGAAATTGTTGTCTTACTTAAAAAAGTTGAAAATGCTAAATCAGTTCTAACCCTAAATGAGATAGAACAGATATTTTAACTTTGTTAAAATCTAATGATTTAGTGTTAAATAAAATTTTTTGATAGTAAAATTATTAGAGTAGAAAATATTGTTTCATAAGTTATTTTTAAAACTATTTAAATTCTTTTTCATTTGTAGTTTTTTTTTGCAAATTGTTTTTTTTTTTTTTGTCATGTTTTCATTGGATTAGAAATTAATATAAAATATGCATTGAAAAATTGCTGTTAAATCTGAAAATCAGGATTGCTCATTGGAAAGTCTAATTGGTGTAATGTTAACAGACCGGTTAAATCAGATTCAGAATGAATGCTATGCTATTCAGAATGAATGCCAGTTATAGTTTTTGAAATGAGCCATGGAATATTATTTTCGGTTAAGATTTTAATCTGTTCTGTAATAAATCGTCCATCTCACAAAATTACTTGAAATATTAATAAAAGAATTATTATTAAATAAAGAATTTCATAATAATAGTGGAAACTATGTAAAACTATGAGCTAGATTGTTCGAAAAGTCTGCTGTCACAAGATAGTTTACATTTTAATAGTAGAAGCAGTTTGAGCATCCTCCACTAGCTCCATGTTAGGGAACTCACCTAAACTGTAATAGATTGTTTATGCTAGAATTTAAAATCCAAAATAAGAGAAATTGTTTTTTGTCTAGTACTTGATGTTATTTTTCTTTCACTTACTCTCCTTAAAAATTACTAAATTGGCTTCCATAAGCTTCGCAACTGATTGACTTTTGTTACAAAACAGTTTGTTACAGAAAAATAAAGCCTTTATTTACTATCCTTTTGATTTTTTTTTTCATTTTAAAAAATCAGTAAATATATAAGGTAAAAATCATTTAGTTAGCTTATTTTTAATAACACATTTTGATGCTATTTTTATAGAAACTTTGTGTTCCATTTACATTATTTACTTAAAAAATGCAATTTTGGTTGATAGAAAGCTAAAAATGGTGACCACACCATTGAAAGAGATTTATATTTATTTCTATTTTACAAATACCAAACCACTGACATTACCAAACCACTTACAGGTCATTTTGCAACGGTCATTTCACTATTTCTCAACTATGCAATTTATATTTACTATGCATTAATTATGTGTTTTAAAATATCTTAAAAAGGAATTTTCATGAAAATTTTATATCGTCTGGTAAAACATTTTTAACTATTGTGAATTCTTTTTCTCCAAAATCTCTATGATTCACATTTCCGTAACCATAGGGAAATAGACAAAAGAAATTATCTCTTTATAAAAATTTATTTAAATTATTTTAAGATGCAAATAAGTTTCAGGAAAAATTAAGTGTTGCAATTATTTCAAAATTGGAATATATCAAGTTTCATAAGGTTAATTTACTAATTAATTGAATAAAATATCACGATTCAATTGAATTTAAACTTAACAGCTCAATTTAAATTTGCTTATTCCGTAAAGTTTAATAAATTAGTAGAAAGTATCTGCTATATCAGAATTTCATTTATTGTGTTACTAAAAAATAGATATGTTCAACATTCGTGAAACATTTTTTGTCATTTGATCAACATTCATTATGAAAATATTTTTGTTAATGCCGCGAAATGATTTATAAATAACAGTCTTCACTACGCTATTCGATAATTTTAGTATGAAGTGGTATTATTTATATTATTTCAGTTTTTGATGATGTACTTTTTTTTCTGTTTAGGAAAATGTAATAACTTTATTCTATTAATTCGCTTAGCAAGAAATATTTTTAAAACAACGTACAGTTCTCGTAAGATTATTTCTATCTTGCTCAAGATTATTTTTCTAGATATATACTAGATTCATTACATTTGATAGATCATAAGTTAGCTCTTAAATTTAAACTTTAAATGGTTATTATAATCCATTTGTAAAGTAAAGAGTAAATTATTAAAAACGTAAAATTTTAATTAGCATTAAAATCACAGAAGGCAAATGAAGAATACAATTTTAAAAACGAATATTTAATGAAAGTATATGAGTTCATCTGGATGGATTAATATAGGAATTAAAAGATTTAAAACTTTTTTATCGTAAAAAATAAATTAAACTGAAATTTTTAAGACTTTGAAACTATAAGTGTTAAAGTTCAGCATGATATCAATAATACAATATGTTTCAAATGAAAACTTAAAAATAATGAGTAGGCAAGATTTTAGAGCTTAAAATTAAATTATAATTTTTAAAACAGCTATCTTTCATACATTTTACATGAATAATTTCGGCAAAAATTTTCCATTTTTACAAATTTTCCATCCCAGTTTTATTTTAAGTATTTTCTGTCTTTAAATGGTCTATTTATCTAATGATCATCTATATGGGTGAGTTGACAAATTTATACTCATATCGAATCTTTTGCCAGAGTAGAGGTAAGTATCGTCCACTCATTTGAAATACATTCATGACATTCTACTTTTATAACATTCTACATTTCATTCCACAACATTCTTATAGCTTCTTACAACATTTAGGAAATAATTTTTTTAATGTACAGAAGTGTTGTTCAGACCTTTGAACTCAAAGTTGTTGTATTGTTGACTCAAGTATTGTTGACTCAAAGAAAATATTCGTTATGCATTGTATATAAATATTTTTGTTAAAAAATTCTCTTTGCAAATTTTTATATAGACAGTTTTCACAATCTGCAAGTACTGCATTAATCAAAAGAAGATGCCTAAATAGTTATATGGGGGAGAGAGTGACTTTATATTAATGTTCACTCAACTTCCACATTGGGAAAATAAATTATGATCAAAACTACCAAAATATGGTGAAATTTACGGTGTTTCTGACTTTACGGTGTTTATGACTTTTAACGAAGTGCATTGGTAATGATTTTGGTGAAATAAACAATAAAATATGCTTTTGTAATGTGTGATAAAACTTGATAATTTTATCAGGACACCTTAGAGCATAGCATAAAAACCATTTATTCGGTTAAATTTACTTTTTAGTTTGGTATTTGTAACTAAATGCGTGATATTAAGAACTATAATTTTGAAAACAAGAATTTCTGGTAAATTGTAAACATATAAATGCACCGAAATATACCAAATAAATGTTTTAAAAATGTATATTTTGGCATTTTACTGTATATTTTTGCAGTGCATTTTTTACCGTATATTTTTTAAAACCTAGATGCAAATCCACCAAACTCATTCTGATTAAAAATGGTCTAAGGGACTATCTGAGAATGCGGCATGTCATTACATTTTCCTACGCTTGAGGTATATATTATCCAGTCAAAAGGAACTTTCGATAAAATTCCTCAAAACTCTAGTACCTTTTTGCGGAATTTAATTTTAAGAAAGATTTCAATGCACAAAAGTATTGCTCAAAAATTAGAAAAAAAAAAATTTTTTTTTAAATAAATTTGATGTAAACTATTTCGGCAGAAATTCTCTACGTATAATCTTACTTTTTGGTCCACCCATTTTAATATCATACGCTTTAAATCTTGAAGAGCTACATAAATCTATAGGACAAAAGATAGATTAATAAATAGCTATGGATGAGTTGATACTTACATCCACTCTAATTCCAGGTAGAGGCAAAAATTGTCCAGGTGGCCAGTCATTGGGAACATAGCGATAAAATTCCACATCATTCTTATACCATTTTACGGAATAGAGCTGCTCATCATCTAATTCATAACTGCATGTTAGTTCAACAGACTCTCCTAATATGGTCGGTGAAGGAACATCAAGCATAACGATCCGAAAAGCTTTCGTAACAACCAAGGCTGGAAGAGAACGAATTCTTGGATTAATAAATATGTTGCGTAAAGTTATTTGAATTTGAAGATTTGTTCCGTTACATTTTGCAAACTTATTAAACTATGCAATGCGTAATATATTTAAAAAGCATGCTCCACTGCAAATTAATATTTCATCCTAGACATTGAAATTTTTGGTAGTTTAAAAATAAACCAAACATAATCTGTCTGGAAATTTTGAGATGACTTTTTAATTTATGTAATGTTGAATACATAGAATATATAAGCATTGACTTAAAGATAAAAGAAAGTTACCATCAAATTTAAATGAATAATCTTAACTTAAAATTTAAAATTTGTTTCTCGAGGTTTCAATTTTTATTCTAACTCTCAATTATGGTACAGACTAAAAATCAAAATCTCACAGAAATAAAATTTTCTTGTCAAGATTCAAATGAAATTTTATTTGTATTTCAGGGGCAATTTAATGTCTATTATCATCAAATAGTTTTTTTTATTTTCACGTAATGACAGCAAACTTTATTTCCTGCAATTTCACTCGTCTATTATGTATTATTACGTTTAATTATACTTTATTACAGATAAATCATATAATTATTGAATATATTATCATCATACTATTAAATATAATAAACTTTTTAAATAGGCAGATTGTTATTCACGTCTTTTAGATTGATTATAGATCGCAAGTGAGAATAGTATAATTACATAAAGAAGTACTTTATTTTTCAATCTTTTTTTGCGTATTTAGCCATATCTTAAGAACTTTTAAATCGAATTAAAAAAATTGCACTCAATTATAAGCACACCGGGCAAAAAATTAGTCACCCTTAGACAAATCTTGAAAAACATCATTTAATAGCGTGTAACACCGCCTCTGTATTTGGTTAGGAAGTGAGTCCACAAGGTTTTAAAGGCACATCGAATCCAGTATAAGCCACTCGATGAAGATTTAATCACGCAAATCCACCAAATTGCGAAGATGCTGATTTCGGCGTTTTACTCGTTGTTCCAACATGTCCCACTAATTTTCAGTGGGGCTCAAGTGAGGTGATTTTGTAGGCCAGTCGAGATATAATTGAGTGTCTGAAAGTTCATAAAACCAGTTACATATTCCTCCGGCCCGACGAACTTTGCTGCTGTCATCTTGAAAGATAGGGGTATCGACAACACACTCTTCATTAAGAAGTTGACTGAAAGGCAATGTCTAATCACCCAGAATGCTCAAATAAACATGTTGGTTCATGTTAGTGGCCACCTCAGTTAGGGGGACCAATCAATGATACGAAAAACGCCCCCAAAACATGACAGACTCACATTCGGCTTGAACCTGACCTTGCACACAGTCAGGATGAAATGCTTCATCTGCTCTTCGTTGCACTCGACGACGCACTTCCTTTGAATAAAGGCAAAAGTGTGATTTGTCAGACCATATTACATTCCATCAGTTAGCAACTGTCCACGTTCTGTGACTTCTAGCAAACTGAAGTACCTCATCATCATGTGCCTGTGTGAGCAATGGCCTCTTACGAGATGTTCGGCTCCAAATGCTTATTTAATGCAGATCCCGTCGCAATGTTATCTCACTAACATGTTGGGATAAACCTTCATTTACTAACTGGAACAATTCCTGTCGGGTTTGGAAGAGATTTCGATTGACAAGTCGTGAAACACGTCTCCGGTCCCTTTAATCCAAGATCTTTTTCCCACGACAATTCTGACTTCGTCCTCCATGACCACGTGTATTACACCACTGCTTGTAGGCACGGTGAACAGTTCGCATTGAAGCACCAACAAATCCAACAACTTCATTCACCGTATGACCATGGGCGCGGTCAAACACAATTGCCCCTTTTTACCTCTCTATCGCATCCTTTCACTTATCCATATTTACACACAATTTCCGCTTCAAATAAAAATATCTCACTGATAGCCACTTGCCTTTGATCACGTTGAAACAGTGTGCACACAGTTGAGCACGTCACTTGACCGTTGCGTCATCTAACGAAACTTAACGATTCATCTGTGCTTGCGCACTAGGATGACTAATTTTTTTTTCGGGGAGCTTAAAATTCTTTTATCCAAAGGTACGGAATTCCGAGCAAAAAATAACTTTTAGTAAATTTTATCATATTTTCCTATTTCCTTTTATAGGAATCGAAACAATTTTTAGTTGCAAAGTATACAACTTTTACATCATCTTAAAGAATACAATTTTACTTGACAAAATACAAAATGTGAGTGACATTATTCGAATAGTTCCTGAGAAATAAAATTTTAAAAAAGTCATATTTATAGTCAATTTTTATTTTGCGCATTGTACACAATTACGTTAAGTGTCTCTTAGAAATAATTTCAAAGTAAAAATAAATTAGAATTCCATTAGATTATGCATAATTCTTTTTAAAAAACCAAGTCATATCCAATAATGAAAAAGAAATCTAAGAATAAACTAATTGAACGGTTCAACTTATTTGCACATTTTATATCATAGAATATATGCTGTATTTTACCAAAATCTTGTAAAATAGTTTGGAACTTGGACTTAGCCAATCATGAAATGAATTACTGATTAGATGATTATTAAGTCAATTATTGGATGAGATTTCATATCTAGTTAAACTGAAAGCCGGGAATAGGTTGAATAGAAGTTTTGTCGCTGATAAGAAGGAATGGAATAGTTAGTTGTGTAATATAATTTGGACGTAGAGGGTACAAAATTATCCCAAAGCGTATATAACAATGGTGGACATCACGAAGAAACAATAGATCATGGCATGCGTGTCTTTTCCTGCTTAGCCAATACTTCTCTACAACTATGCGGCCAAAACTTGTGCCATATTTCGCTCAACACTTGACTTAGATGCTCGGTTGCAAGGTAAACTGTCTCATCGAATAATACTTAGCAATTTACTGCACAATGAGCACTTTATCACTACGACTATCGAAGTTCTAAAGATACATACATAATATGATGCTTCAGAGACACGCTGAATAAAGTCCTAGTTATTAATGCAAAAATCTAACGATACGTAAAATATCTGAACCATTTCCAAATTATGAATTAATTTTAATATTTATTTCAGTACATAAAAATAAGTTTATTAGCTCACATAACATTATTTAAAACCTTGTTCTTTAAACTTGCTGGTCAAAAATACCCAGTGGTCATAATTACCCCTCTTGAATCTGCATATTAACAATATAATTATAGATAAACTAAGTTAACAACTAGTTTCCATAATATGATGAAAGTATTCTATTTATAGATTATAATATTTTTGTCTTTTGTATTTCATATATCCTGTTTACCAACAGTACTGAACTTTGGGTGGTGACTTTGTGTCAATTTTTGGTTATGGGTCGATCAATAAAGAGGGCAGTCATAATGTATATGAGGGCAATTGATGATGAGTAATGTTTGTATTGACGTCTAAATACCAGTAGAAAAGGTTAAAATTATAAATAAGATTAAAATAAAAGAGCTCGATCTAATGCTGATACAAGAACTAATGCATAATGTATTGTTGGAAAATTCTCGGAAAAATGGTTAAATAACAATTTATTTAATTGTTATTTTACCATATTCAAGCAAAACAGCCAAATAGCCGCAAATAAAATGGTATTCAAACTGTTAACTGTGAGAAAAACCGTTTATTAACTGTTTTCCCCTAATGCCGTTAAGCAACCAGAATTTCAATTAATTTGCTCAATGTTGAATATGAAGCTTAATTTTAAGTAAAATCGCTGTAATAATTAACAATAATGCAATAATATAAGTCGTAATTCTAATATAATTCATAATTCTAATATAATTCTTAATTCCAATGTAATTCAAGGTAATAAACTAGGTAGTAACTCACACGGAGAAAGACATTGTAGTGAAATTACCGTACTGTATGGTATAATTACATTTCTGATTAAAAAAAACAACAACTTAATTCTGGTTAAAAAATAAATATATACGATATTTAAATCATTAATTTGATAATGCTTCTGTTGATAATATTTTACCAGAAATTCTGGTTTTCGAAATTATAGCTCTTATTACCACACATTTAGTAAAAAATTAAAATTGAAAAGTAAATTTAACCGAATAAATGATTTTTAATGCCATGCTTTCAGGAATCATGATACACTAACCAAATTTCATCACATACTATAAAACAATGTTTTATTGTTAATATTAACAAATAAATTTCCAAAGTGAATTGGAAAAAGTTACCAAGCTTTCTGGTGTTCTCATAGAACCAGAAAAGCTGTAAATATTACCATATTCTTGTAATTTTGAAACTATTTTTCTTCATCCGTGCAAAGTTACACAACCCAATGTAAAAAGTTTTAGAAGCAGAAAAAAAAAATTTTTCTTACCATTTAAAATAAAGTTTTATATGTGCAGATGCATATTGTAAAATATTCAAAGTTCTACATTTAATTTTCAATGAGATGCCCAAAAGAACCTCAACAAAAAAAAAAACGCTCCAAAATAACCTCACTCACTTTACGTTGCGTGTACAGTACAAAAGGTTTATTGGAAACGCAAATACATAATTATATATATATATGATTGCATTTTGAGAAATATTAAATGAAAAATGCAGTTAAAAAGATTAACAACCACTCTAAATTCTAAGCTTTTGTGTAACGTTAAGACGAAATACATTTATCACGTTTTTATTTTATTGGTTCGTGAGAAATTACAATAAGCCAAAGTGAATAACGACAAAAAATTTAATACGAAAATTAAAATTTCATGAAAGGCTGGAAGTATATTTACATTTAATAGTACACAATTTATTAAAGATCAAAAACGTGGGATGAAACAATCAATAACAAATGAAAATAATAGAATAAATCGTAGTTTACGATAATCTAACAAATAGTAATAACATATTTCATCAACATGAATGACATAAAACAAAATCAATAATTCTAGAAGTAACATATGGTGTGTATATCGACCCAACTTCTTTGTTTATAGGTTGAAACGATGTTGAGATACCATC